TATATTCTCCCATACTGTAGGGTTCCTTTTTGTTCTATTGATGGTGTCTTTCGCTGTACAGAAGCTTTTCAGCTTGATATAGTCCCACTTGTTCATTTTTGCTTTTGTTTCCCTTGCCCAGGGAGAAAAAAACATTTCAGTTTTTACTTGTGAAATATAACATATATTTTAAACCAAAAATCTTGATAATTCTCTCTCTCCCTCTCTATCTCACACACATACACACAGGCAAATCCTAGTTGTTTTCAGTCCTGATCACTTCCTTTTCTCAAATTTTGTGTTCCCATTTTTTGATCTTACAACCATGTTTATATATTTACAATCAAGGGTATGTTAATTAGAATTGGTAAGTCTAACCTTTGATTATGGTACCAGCTTTTTTACTTACTCAGGATAAAATAGCAGATAAGGAACATGGGATAGCTTGTGTTTTCTGTTCCAACCTGAGGGGAATGTGTGTGAGATGAGGTTTATGTTTTTAATAAAGTCTGAACTAATTTTAATAAAATCTTTCCTTATAGTCAATGTGGGTCATTCATTTGGCAAACAATTATTAAGCAGAAGCTTTTTACAGGATAGAAGATATGAGGGATACAAAACCTAATAAAATCAGTGAACTTTTATCATAATCTAAGGCATGGCTGGCTAGGTCTAGTTAATGTGATGAGTACTCTAATGGAGGTATACACAAGGTGCAGTGAGAGTGTAGTGATGGTTGGCTTATAATCTGTTAACAGTCCATCTAACTTTAACCTATGAACCCTTTATGATCCTATAAACATATGCTGTGTCGGGCAAGCCAAGTTGGTTTTGCCTTCGTACTGATTCTCCTATTCATCCTCTTCTCTTCTAAGGGGTCTCCTTGCAGACAAAGTTGTGCCCCTTTCATACAATCAGTGAAGTAAACAGAAGGATATTTTAGAAATGTAAATTAGATAGGTGCTTTCATACTTAAACCTCTCCCAAGGTTTGTTGTCATATCAGAATAAAAGTTCAACTTCTTGCTAGGAGTCCTCAAGGCTCATGTGACCTTGCCCTGACCACCTCTGGCCTCCTATCAAAATTCTCTCACACTTGTTCATTGTACTTCAGCCATATTGGCCTTTTTGACTGTTCCATAAACACACCAAGTTTCTATAAGCAACTGGGCCTTTGCAATCACTGTTCCCACTGTCTGCAGCACTGCCTGCAAATCTTCTCAGAGCTACTGTTCAGATTTCAACTTTAATGTCAGTTTGCCAGCCTGGCCTTCTCTGGTCTCTCAGTCTCCAAGTGTTCCCCTCTCCTCTTTAGAAAAAAGTCTTTAAAGTACTTAAAACAACTTGTCATTAGTAGATGTGTGTGTGTGTGTGTGTGTCTGTCTCCCCTGTTGTAATGTAATCTACTGGAATGTAGGTCCCTACATTCATTGTGTATTCCTAAGGTCCAGCAAATGTCATATACTAGCTGGTCAGAAAACATTAGTTGAATAAATATGTGACTTTGATATAATTTGCTCATAAAGCTTATAACTCTTTTTCCTGTATTTAGTTGCTGGTTTATTGCCTGTTCCTCACACCCAGCGTGTCAGAGCAGCTTCTGGTCTGCCTTGCTCATTTCCCTATCTCTGGAGTCTAGAGCAGTTCTTGGCATGCAACGGGAACGACTGGATGAGTAAGGAAACCTATTCCATTTTCAAAGATGTTAAAATCTAGAGTGGAGAGAATCATTACTGAAACAGAGAATAAACAAGGGATTGTGAAGTCTCCAGAGAAACTGAGATCAGAAAGGGCAAGTCTCACCAGTTAAGCTAGAAATATTGAGGTTAGATTTGTGCTTTGAGAGGAAAACTTCTTAACATTCCCTGGTAGGGGATCCAGTGGATCCAATACGGATTCTAAAGAACATTTCATATACGGCCACGAAGTTCTACTGGGTATCCAGCATATTACGAGCGTTCAGTAAACTCTGGTTGACTGCTTGCCACCGTTTCTGGAAATAATCAATGAGAGTCAGGGTAGAGGAGGCCCTGCCCACCTCTCTGACAGGTATTCGGACTTATGGACTACATTTCCTAGCATGCATCAGAAACGCAGGGGTAGGTTTTTCCCAAAAAATGGAATACAATTCCCGGCGTGCTGTGCCCCAGCGGCGTGGACCGCCCGCCCCTGAGGCGGGCGCAGGCCTGTCAGCGTGGCTTGTCAGGGGAGGCCTCTCAAGAACCGGCCGTCAGGGGCGGGCCTATCGGGGGCGGGGCTTACCGCCGGTGTGCCGGAAGGAGCGGTGGCGGCCGTGGCAGCGGAGGATGGAGGCGGTGGTGTTCGTTTTCTCTCTCCTCGACTGCTGCGCGCTTATCTTCCTCTCAGTGTACTTCGTATCCTTGCTGAGGCGGACTGGGGACGGGGCTGGGTTAGGCCCATGTGGGGGCCGGCGCAAGTGCGTGGGAGCAAGTAGGGCCTCGGGAGCAAGTAGGGCCTCGGGCGCAGGGCCCGGGGCCCGGAGCGGAAGGGCCGTCGCCGACGTGGGAAGGTATCTTCTCAGCGGCCTCCCGGGCGGCGCCCTGGCTCTGAGCCGGGCGTCCGGGGGGAGGGGCGCGGCTCTCCTTCCACGGGCCTCGGGAGGCAAGTGTCTCGTCCTTGTCGGGACGCCGTGGCCGGCCGGTGATCGTAGCTGATCCTGAGGCGCAGCCCAGGGCGCCCGGCCCTTGTGCGTGCGGGGGGCGGCTCGTCGGGACCGAGCGCGCCTCCGGGTTGACCTCTCAAAGCAGCCCGCGCTGCTTTCGCGCTGGCGCAGTGTTGGGAAGGTTTGTTTTGTAAACACTTGGCAGGGGATGACTCTGGGCGGCAGCGCGGGTCTGTAGGTTCAGTAACTACCCGTGATTTAGTTACTAATCGTCTCTCAACTTAGGCACTTTTCTCCGTCGGTCCACTTTTAAAAGTTGAGTGTTTAAATAGCTCTTCGTGTTACAGTAATCAAACTATGATTTCCAGCCAATGAATGGCTGTGGAACCAAGGGCACTAGGGAGTTCCTAGTCTTAGTTGTCACCCAATGTTGTATTACGCAATCCAGTTTTAAGTAAATAAATAGAAGCTAGGGGTGAAAAACCCACGAGAAACCCTGCGTTTTTCTTTTTTTCCATGGAAATCTCATGAGCTTCTTTCTGACCAAATCAAACTTTTTGTTTGCCAGAGCATCCTGGCTTTAGGTTAGTTGTATCAAGTTAGGTTTTCAGTGTGGCTTCATACTTTACTGTGGATAGGCAGCTTGTAGTGGAAAGGGACAAAATTGGGAATCAGAACTCTTTGCTTCGCTAGTTGTTTGCTACATACATTGCTTCACCTCTCTAAGCTTCAATTTTCTTATCTTAGAAATGGGAGTGGGGGGAATGTTTACTTCCCAGATACATATGTGTACAGTGAGAACACATGTTGAGTGCCTAGCCCAGCGCATGGCCAGTATTCAGTACTGTTCTGCTGCACTGTTGCCCCTGTCCCCTAGCAGTTCTTATTTTTATTGATGAATTCTTATGAGAACCTGAGTTTTATTAGGTTTGACAAAACTGAAAGGGCAGACTCACTTGCCTAGAGTTTTGATGACCTCCATCCACCTTGTGACATAAGGAACTGGAGCTTTCAGTCAGAAATGAAACTTGGATTTCTTTTTTTGCAATTTGGAAAGCTAGGCATGATAATTTAAAATAGTCTTGGCTTATACCAATTTATGTACACAAAAATAGGTGTAATATTTGACTTAAATAGACATTAAGGTACGTGTAGGGTGAGTTTTGATGAAATGTATTTTTGGATAGTTGCAGTAGCTTAATACTAGGGCCAAGAGGTGCAAATGATCAAGGTAGACATTCTGTAGGCATGGCAGTTTTTCTGGAGTTTGAACTGTGAGGAAAACCTGCAGAGAAAGAAAGGGGTGAATATTCAAAATCAAGGCAAGAGCAAAGACGCAAAGACAGGTGGTGGGAGTTTCTGGGTGATGGAGTTAAGGAGTAAGACTATCTAGAGCACATGGTTGATTTTGGTGGTAGTGGAAGGTCAGGCTGGATTAGATGGGACTTTGGAGGGTTTGAATGTTAAGGAGGGGAGGGCTTCACTTTTATTCTGAAGATACTTAGGGAGCCAGCAAAATTTTTTGACAAAGTGGTTGGTATATTAGGATAAATCTTCAGGGTGTGTTGGAAACAGGAAAGATTGGAAGGTGAATTTTTAGGGAATCAGTTCATCTGGATTTGAAATAGAGTGCTAATTGTGGGCAGGTGACAGAAGGGACTAATGTGTGTGGTTGCAGGAAGAAATGATTGGTAGAACCTGGTAATGGTTGTGAGCTTTGTAACAAGACAGAAATGACTTTGCGCATTTGAGCCTGAGCAAGTGATGCTATGCCATTGACAGAAATAAAACAGATCAGAGTGGAACAACTTGTGGAGAAGGTGATGAGTTCTACTTTTGCTCTTCTGAGGTGATGGGGAAATATCCATGTGGAAATGTTTGAAACGTGGTTGAGAACATTTCTTTTTACTTTACGGACAGTTTCAAGAATAAAAATTTGAGAGTAGTATAAAGAGCCCCATGTTTCTACTCACTCACCTTCAGTGATTTTCAACATTTTGCCGTTCTTTTTAATTTCTTTTTGGGGAGGGTGCTGGAAGGACTAGAACGTAAATTCCCAGGCATTGTGTCATTCATTTGAGGACTTTTCCTTCTATGTCTGTCTCTCATATCTTTATTTGTGAGTTTATATTTTGTATTAAAATTTTTTTCTTTTCCTAATTCCAGTAAAGTTTTCTGTGGAAAGTTTTGGGAAACAGAAACAAGTATTAGGAAAACAAACCATCTGAAAGGGTATCTTGCCGCGACCCTCCTTACCCAGAATGACTCAGGAGACACGGGCCCACGCAAGAGACTTTATTATCTGAAAGAGAGGGTGGCTGCCCCAGACGTGGGTGGTGGGGAGAGAGAGAGGGAGCTGCAGAGAGAGCAGCGGGAGAGAGAGGGCGAGAGAGCGGGGAGAGCAGGGGGAGAGAGACAGAGAGACAGAGACAGAGAGCAGCGAGACAGACACACAGAGACAGAGGGAGGCCGACAGACAGACAGAGAGAGGGCAGACAGAGAGAGAGAGAGGTGCCTTTATTGTGGCGATCCGCTCGGCCTGTTGCCTTGGGGGAGGGTCGGGATGTTTAGAGATAAGGCAGGGTAAGCCCAGGCAAGTCCCAGGTGTTAATTCTCACCGGTTTATGTGCTTGGGACCATGGGGCAAATGGAGGATAAATTACTATATTCTTACACCATCTGTAATTCAACTTTCTAGACATAATTACTACATATGATGCTGTGTTTAAACTCCTGTATTCTATTTTCTTTATTCATGTCTTAATTTTCAAAGACATCCTATGGATATATTATAAATAAACACTTTTTTTTGCTATTGGGAATTCAGGTTTTAACTCAAACTGTTCTTATAGGTCTTATTTTCTGTTTGCTGTATCCATTGTTTGCCATTGAAGGAACCCAGATTGAGTGTTCAGGGATGGATCACATTAGAATTGAGCATAATAAGAGGATTATTTTGTGAAAATCACTTGTTGAAGGAAGAAAAATGAGAAAATCAAGTTGTCTAATGAATGATATTTAAGGAAGTAACTCAATTTTTTCCAAGTCATATCTAATTCTGCAGTTCTGCCTTGCAATTGGGACTGCTTTTTAAAACTCAAGAACAAATACTCAGTTATTGTAAAAGAAGTCTAGTAATTCCTTATCTCAATCATCAGATAATTACACTGTCTGATTTAGAATGTGATTACATTAATGCTAGATCATGTTGCTCGAAATTGAACAAGGTAAGACATTTCTTTGCTCATTTTCTGGCATTGAAGGCAGTTTATCCATTTTCTGTGCTAGAGATTATTATGAACATATGTATATTTGATTTTAGAGTTCATGTTATCTCTTATTCATTAGAATTTTGATAGAATACTGTGTTTTGGAATATTTTAGATCATAAAACTAGAATAGAAAACCTAACTTGACATTTTGTTTCTTTACTCTGCTTCTTCTTTGGTCCTTTGTCCACAGTGGGCATCATTACTCAGACTAGGTAAAGGTTCATTATGAGGGTAATTGTTTTGTCTCCTGTGCCCAACCCCTCTTGCTTGCTCATAGAAAAAAAGGTCAGTCTGTCCTTTTTTTTATTATTAAGGTATCATTGATACACAGTCTTACGAAGGTTGCACATGAGCAACATTGTGGTTACTACATTCACCCATATTAAGTCCCCCTCACACCCCATTGCAGTCACTGTTCATCAGCATAGTAAAAGGCTATAGAGTCACTACTTGTCTTCTCTGTGCTATATTGCCTTCCCCGTGACTCCCCTACATTATGTGTGTTAGTCATAATTTCCCTTAATCCCCTTCTCCCTCCCTCCTCACTCAGCCTCCCCTACTCCTCCCCTTTGGTAACTTGCTAGTCCCTTCTTGGAGTCTGTGAGTCCGCTGTTGTTTTGTTTCTTCAGTTTTGCTTTGTTGTTTTACTCCAAAAATGAGTGAAATCATTTGGTACTTGTCTTTCTCCACCTGCCTTATTTCACTGAGCATGATAACCCTCTAGCTTGATCCATGTTGTTGCAAATGGTACAATTTGTTTTCTTCTTATGGCTGAATAGTATTCCATTGTGTATATGTACCACGTCTTCTTTATCCATTCATCTACTGACGGACACTTAGGTTGCTTCCATTTCTTGGCTGTTGTAAATAGTGCTGCAGTAAACATAGGGGTGCATATGTCTTTTTGCATTTGACTGAGATCTTGCTTTCTTTGGGTAAATTCCTAGAAGTGGAATTCCTGGGTCAAATGGTATTTCTATTTTTAGTGTTTTGAGGAACTCCATATTGCTTTCCACAATGGTTGAACTCATTTGCATTCCCACCAACAGTGTAGGAGGGTTCCCCTTTCTCTGCATCCTTGCCAGCGTTTGTTGTTCCTTGTCTTTTGGATGTTGGCCATCCTAACTGGTGTGAGGTGATGTCTCACTGTGGTTTTAATTTGCATTTCCCTGATGATTAGCAATGTGAAGCATCTTTTCATGTGCCTGTTGGCCATCTGAATTTCTTCTTTGGAAAAGTGCCTGTTCATATCCTCCACTCATTTTTTAATCAGGTTATTTGCTTTTTGGGTGTTGAGATCTGGTAGTTCTTTATATATTTTGGATGTTAACCCCTTATCGGATATGTCGTTTACAAATATACTCTTCCATACTGTAGGATGCCTTTTTGTTCTGTTGATGGTGTCCTTTGCTGTACAGAAACTTTTTAGTTTGATGTAGTCCCATGTGTTCATTTTTGCTTTTGTTTCCCTTGCCCGAGGAGATGTGTTCAGGAAAAAGTTGCTCATGTTTATATTTAAGAGATTTTTGCTTATGTTTTCTTCTAAGAGTTTTATGGTTTCATGACTTACATTCAGGTCTTTGATCCTTTTCGAGTTTACTTTTGTGTATGGAGTTAGACAATAATCCAGTTTCTTTCTCTTACATGTAGCTGTCCAGTTTTGCCAATACCAATTGTTGAAGAGGCTGTCATTTCTCCATTGTATATTCAAAGCTCTTTTATCGTATGCTCAGTCTTTCTTTTGTTGAATGAAAGATGACCTTCTTTTGTGGCTTAATGAGAAAGGGAATGAACTAGTTGATGTGTTTTAATGCTATTTTACCTTTAGTATGTAGTCAGAACTTTATATTGGCAAGAATATTTTGAATTGCAGAGCTTGTCTAGATACAGGAAAACCTGTTGGTTCTGAGTAATTTTATGAGATGTAGACAGAAAAAGCTTTCTCGGTAAAGTTCATATAAAACTACAGTAGTGAGAGGTGCTCTTGGCTTGGCCAAAAAGTGATTCCCATATGTGTCTTTTCATATCTTCAGTCTCCTTATGTTTCTCTGGCCTGTGAGGGAAATAAAGTTACACTTGGAAAGTTAAAATTTCTAGTGAAGTACATATGCCTTCTCATTTTTTTATTTATTTAGAATTTTACACAGCACGGTTTAATGTAGTGATAGATTTAAATAAAAGATATAGTGTTTATCTGCTGTACTTTTGAGAGTTTTTTTTTAACCTTATTTTTTCATTGAGATATAATTGACATACTAGTTTCAGGCCTCTTCATCTTTAGAGAATGATGTTATATATACATATATTCCCTCCCCCCTTCAAATGCATTGTATTTCTTTTATATTTCTTGCTTACTCAGTATTTTAGGTGGGTGCTTTGTGGTATTTTCTTTTATAAAAATAAAAAACTAAATGCAGGATACAAAATTAACACACAGAAATCTGTAGCTTTCCTATACACTAACAATGAACCAATAGAAAGAGAAATCAGGAAAACAATTCCATTCACCATTGCATCAAAAAGAATAAAATACCTAGGAATAAACCTAACCAAAGAAGTGAAAGACTTATACTCTGAAAACTACAAGTCACTCTTAAGAGAAATTAAAGGGGACACTAATAAATGGAAACTCATCCCATGCTCATGGCTAGGAAGAATTAATATCGTCAAAATGGCCATCCTGCCGAAAGCAATATACAGATTTGATGCAATCCCTCTCAAATTACCAGCAACATTCTTCAATGAATTGGAACAAATAATTCAAAAATTCATATGGAAACACCAAAGACCCCGAATAGCCAAAGCAATCCTGAAAAAGAAGAATAAAGTAGGGGGGATCTCACTCCCCAACTTCAAGCTCTACTACAAAGCCATAGTAATCAAGACAATTTGGTACTGGCACAAGAACAGAGCCACAGACCAGTGGAACAGATTAGAGACCCCAGAAATTAACCCAAACATATATGGTCAATTAATATTTGATAAAGGAGCCATGGACATACAATGGCAAAATGACAGTCTCTTCAACAGATGGTGCTGGCAAAACTGGACAGCTACATGTAGGAGAATGAAACTGGACCATTGTCTAACCCCATATACAAAGGTAAACTCAAAATGGATCAAAGACCTGAATGTAAGTCATGAAACCATTAAACTCTTGGAAAAAAACATAGGCAAAAACCTCTTAGACATAAACATGAGTGATCTCTTCTTGAACATATCTCCCCGGGCAAGGAAAACAACAGCAAAAATGAGCAAGTGGGACTACATTAAGCTGAAAAGCTTCTGTACAGCGAAAGACACCATCAATAGAACAAAAAGGAACCCTACAGTATGGGAGAATATATTTGAAAATGACAGATCCGATAAAGGCTTGACGTCCAGAATATATAAAGAGCTCACACGCCTCAACAAACAAAAAACAAATAACCCAATTAAAAAATGGGCAGAGGAACTGAACAGACAGTTCTCCAAAAAAGAAATACAGATGGCCAAGAGACACATGAAAAGATGCTCCACATCGCTAATTATCAGAGAAATGCAAATTA